GAAAAGTCTTGGGAACAAACAAGACAACGGGCGATCACCACACCAAGAATCCTCCCAAAACCGAACATCCCTACCCTCCCAACCTAATATGCTTAGAGAACTCATCCCAACCCTTTCGAATGCGCATTTGCACACTCCCACGCCAACAACAGATCTAACAGGCCCCGAAGACCATCCCCCCTCTCCTCCCCAAAGTGGCACGAAACAACCCTCCTCCATAAATGATGCCTTTCGCTACCAAATCTCCACAGCCACTTACCAAGGCGCGCCCTATTGAAAGGGACCAACCTCCAAATCCCAAGACCACCCTTCTGAAGAGCCCTTCAAACTTACTCCCACATAACAAGATGATACATGAACTCGCCAGCCCGACCACCCTAGAGAAAGTTCTGTTTGAGACTCTTGAGTCTTCCGGCTACAGTGGAAGGAATCTGGAAGAGAGAGGATATATGTTAGGAGACTCGACAATGTACTCTTAACAAAGAAACCTTCCCGCCCTTCGAAAGATACTACTTCTTCCACCCAGCCAATCTTCTGTTAAAACGTTGAATCACCAGATCCCAAACTCCCACTATCCTTAAGGAAGCACCCAAAGGCAAACCCAGATAAACAATAGGAAAGGAACTCGTCCCACACCCTAGAACCACAGCAAGAGAAGTCACCTCCTGAACCTCCCCCAAAGGGACAAGCACGTTATTTCCCACATTAACCTTCAAACCTAACACTACGTGAAAACAAACCTCAAATATCTTTTTTCAAAACCAATGTACCATCCGCAAACAGTAAATGGGAAATAGCGCATTTCAATGGATCCAATCGATATTTTTCAATCTCGAATAAACAAACCACCAACTTTTCTTCATTAATCTTCAGAGGTGAATTACATATGAATTTTCCTCCTTTCCAGTCCACACAATAAAAGAGTTTTTGATACTCCTCTTTTTAATCTGTTGAGCCGAATCTGGACCCATCCTGAATCCCCTGATAAAGCCCAAATCCACTGCCCTGCTCATCAACCTGCTAAGGGCCTCCATAACAATAATGAACAAAAAAGGAGAAAGGGAATCCCCTTGTCTCAAACCTCGAGAACTTCCAAAAAAGCCGGAGTGAGACTCATTCACAAACACGGAGAATCTAACAGAAGAAATACAAGTCTCTCCTCCATCTCTCCCCAAATCCCATCCTCCCCAGCAAATACAAAAGGAAATTATAACTAACATGATCATATGCTTTCTCAATGTCGAGCTTGCACAAGACTCCAGGAACACCACTACTCAACCTAAAGTCCACACATTCGCTGGCAAAAAGAACAGAATATAGAAATCTCCCTGCCCCTAATAAAGGCATTTTGAAACTCTGAGACGACTCCACCCAGAACTTCCCTCAATCTCAAAGCAAGGACTTTAGCGATAAGCTTATAAATTTTTTTTTTTGATAATACAACCTAGCAAAGACTTGTTGGTCTAAAATCCTTGACATCGGACGCATCACCCTTCTTAGGAATGAGGGCAATCAAAGATGCATTCAGCGATTATTCGAACATCCCATTAGAATGAAACTAATTAAAACTGCCCATCACCTCATGTGGATGAGTCTCAGATGAGGTACTTGAGTTGTCTATTGACTTGGTTTCCAGTCGTTTCTAGCTTGAAGGTGAACGTGGATAAAAGTGTCTTGGTTCCCGTTGGGGATGTTCCAGAGATCTCCACTCTAGCTGGCATTCTAGGTTGCAGCATTGGCATTTTTCGTATTTCTTATTTGGGGTTACCTTGGGGCGCCATCGAGGCGAGTGGGATGTTGGGAGTGTAGAGGTGTGAGAGGAGGTTAGCTAGGTGGAAGACGCGATATCTTTCGAAAGGCGGGAGGGTCACTTTGATGAAGAGCACTTTGTCGCGTCTTCCAACCTATTTTCTCTCTTTTTCAAATTCCTTCTTCTATGGCTGAGAGGATTGAGAGATTGCAACGAAATTTCCTTTGGGGTGGGATGGGGGAGGAGTTCAAGTTTCATCCAGTTCGATGGGATCAGGTTTGCAGTCCAATTCATTTGGGAGGTCTTGGTATTAGAAGACTGGTGCCTTTTTTTTTTTTTTTTTTTGATAAATAAGCAATTCATTAAAAGCGTTCAAAAGAGGAACGCATCCTTACAAGACCACAAAAACCTGGGTACCCTAAGGCCCCAGGGAAGCCAAAAACCCAATAGTCTCCTCAGTAGAGGAACACAGTCTACCCGAACCCCAAAAAAATAAAGAGCTAATAACATAAGATTTGAGAACAATAACCGAAGATTCCTCTCCTTCAAAGGATCTTTTATTCCGCTCCCTCCACAGACACCACCAAAGACACAGGGGCACCATCCTCCAAAACCCTCGACTTTGGCGATTTGGGGTGGAGAAGCATAGACTTTGGAGAAGGGTGGTTGCGAACAAATTTGGGAAGGAGAGATGTGGTTGGTGTTCGAGGGAGGTGAGAATCCCTTACGATGTTGGGGTAGAGTGAATTCTCAACACACATTATATTTCGAGTGGGGATGGGAGAGGGATCCTCTTCTTTTTTCTTCTTTTTTGATAAATAAAGATGTATTAGAAAGCGTTCAAAAGGGGAACGCATCCCAAGAGCTGTACAAGAACCAAGAACATAAACAGAAAAGGGGATGACCTATGGACCCAACGACCCCAAAAAGTCCATGGTCTCCTCAACAAAAAGACAATCTCTCTCCAAACCCCAACTAAAAAGAGAACAAATAATAGAGTATTTTAACGCCCTAATGGGTAACTCCTCCCCAACAAAAGATCTTCTATTTTGTTCTTTCCAGAGGCACCACCAAATGCAAAGAGGAGTCACCCTCCAAAAAACGCGAGCACGAGCCCCCACCCTTTGCCTCCTCCAAACATCAATAAGACCCCGTGAGGTCCGGGGCAAAACCCACCGGACGCCAAAAAGACCCAACATAAGACTCCAACAGTCATAGGCCACTTGGCAATGCAAGAGAAGGTGATCCACAAACTCTCCATCGGTCATACGACTCAAACACAAACAGCACCGATTAACAATGACATGTCTTCTCTTCCTCAAATATCCTCTTTTGGGAGGATATTTGATGTGGCAATCGCTCTCTTGCCATCACTTTTCCCAAGATCACTAGGATTGCTAGTTGATACTACTCAACTAGTACTACGTTTTATGTTGTGTGACCATGATGAAGTCATATCGGCCCAAACTGTCCACAAACATTATTAGCATAACTAGCTTCTTCAAGTAAGATGAGATGAAGAAGCCGATGAAGAGGTTGTTCCAGGTCTAGAGGATGAGAGGAATGAAAAAGAGATATAGAAAGGGTAATACAGGGGCTTGAGCTTGTTGAAACTAGCTTTTCAACATAGTCCACCCATTTTCTCATTGAGCGAAGGGTGCGAAATAAATCAAATTGATTTTTTGATAAAAAGTACTATGTAAAATCTTTGGTTTTTCTTCTTCCTTTATCCCTATCCCATAGGTACAATGTTTGAATCAATAGAGAACCTTTTCTTCTGTATGAATCGATATTCGTTATTACATTCCAATTCCTTCCCGATAACTCCCAAGGAAAATCTCAAATTGGATCCAAAGTGGCCCCAATTTAATAACTCCTCTCTCTCGCTAGCCCCTACAGTTCTAGTGGACAGACACTGTTGTGACTAACTGCTATTGTCTTGGTAGTGGGAGAACTGTTTGGGACATACTTTTCTTAAGGCACTTTCAGGATAGGGAGATTGAGGATGCCATTGGTCTTTTGGAAATGGTCTGCAGACGAGTTTCCAAGACTCGTGGGTGTGGGTTCCTTCTCCCCAAGGTCATTTTAGTGTTCGGTCTTTCTACAAGTGCATTACAGAAGCCCATGGGGAGTCTTTCCCATGGAAAGTTATTTGGAGATCCAAGGACCCTCTCAGTGTAGGTTTTTTTGCGTTGACTTCGGTGTTAAGGAAGATCTTACCCAAGGTAACTTAAGAAGGAGAAGACAAGAGAGATGGGGAAACGGTTGATCGCCTTCTTGTGCAATGCCCCGTGGCTAGGGATTGTTGGATCTTACTGTTGAGTTTGTTTAGGGTTCCCATATCCCTCAGAAATTTGATTGAGGCATGGCCAAGTTGTATAGTGGGGGCACAAGTCCGTAATTTTTGGAGGGTTATGCCTCTTTGCATCTGGTGATGTTTATGCCTTGAAAGAAAGAGGAGATCCTTTGAAGGAAAGGAGACTCCTATGGGGGAGTATAAGTTCTCTATTATTAACACTCTTTTTTGTTGGGTTACAGGGAGTTATTGTAAATCCATGGAGGAGATAGTTGAATTTTTGGACTCTCTCAGAGTTTGGAGGCCCTATTAGGCCTTGTGCATTTTCAGTGGGATGTGTTCCCCTTTTGAAAGCTTCTTTATACAATCTTTACTTATATATATATATATATATATATATATTATGTTATTATAATTACAGTATGACCCCAATACTAATTACTTGTTGTACTAATTTCCCAGCATTAATTATTGTACTATTTCCCAACACTATTCAGTGCTTCGACATTTTCTATTGCTGATATTTCACTGCAACTATATCACACCAAAATGATATTATAAAAGCAACAGAGGTTAAAGCATAACCATAATAATAATTAAATAATAATAAAATTGAATGTGGAACAGCATAGTATATAAAGTTTCAATTAAACAGGACACGGAAATAAAATATGACGGATATCAATCTTGACACATTCACATTTTCAGGTTCTACAAAGAAATGAATAGATAATCTAAGAAGTGTGATTATACTCTTGGATCATGCTTGATTCTCCAACTCTTAGATAGTTATAGCAATCTAATGTGTGCCCTTTAAAATGCAAGGCAACTCAAAGATTAACTTCAACATTTTTGTAAAAAGAGGCAGGACTTAGATATTTGGCCCTACACACAGAACAATTAAATAAGAGGGGGAAAAACCAGTAAAAAATAGTGTTTTGTTAATGCTAGTACCTCCGCCTTTTAGAACAAGTAACACAAGTTTCAACATAGTTGTTCCTTTTGCAGGCAGATGATGGTGAAGAGACATCATCTCCAACAGAAATGCAGATGTCTTTGTTTGTGGTCATTGAAAAAGCATTAGAATCCATGTCCACGGTATGCCGCTTTCTTGTAGATGCTATGACTTTGTCTCCAGTTACCAAATCAGTGTCATCATCAAGAGTCTCTTCGATTATGCCATCACTACTGGGGCCATTTAAGCCATCTCCATCCGAAGGCTCATGTGGTTCCTCTGCACAACCATGCTCTGGGTATGACAATCCCACTTCATCGGGATTTCCTAATGTTTCCGTTTCACCATTTCTTAAACTAGAATCGGATCTTTCAACAGCTTCACAACTTCTCTCAACACTTTCTTCTCTCCTTTCTCTGGATACATTACCCTCACCATCCTCGTCCACTTGCTTGGAACCACTACCTGCACCAATGTTGCTATCAACTTGAGACAAATTCTCCAGCCTCTCCATCTCCTCGTCAGTTTCTATTATTCGATGAAAAAGTGACATATAATTATGATGAACAATTCAGCAATAATGTTTTGAAAGTGCAGATATTAACAAAATTCATTGCATTAACAAAATGAAGATATATTTTCCAGGCCATAGTTACAAATTCAAGATGTGGGTGTTTCTTCCCCCTTCTTCATTCATCAAATTTAAAAGTAATGGCAGGAATGTGAACAACCGTGATTTCACTTGCATGGGAGTATGATTTGAAACTGAGAATAATGGATAACAATAATATTTCTTATAAACAATACAAAATTCATCAATTCAGGATGTAGGTGTTTCTTCCCCGTTCTTCATTCATCAAATTTAAAAGTAATAGCGGGGATGTGAACAACTGGAGTATGGTTTGAAACTGCGAATAATGAAATGGATAACAATAATATTTCTTAAGTATTAATTTGGGTTGGAAATTATTGATACTAAAGAAAAAGGAAAATGTGGGTAGTGGGTACCTTCTTGTAAAGCCCCCCTTCTTTGTTGGGGCTTAAATGTAGCCTTATAAGAACGGGCATCCATCCTCTTTCTCTTCATACCAACAGCAGGTTTTTTCTGATGTTGTTGTTGTTTCTGGTTTCTGCTAACTTCCCTGCTCTTCTTTCTACTTAAGTTCTTATTATGTTCCGTATCTGATGGACTACCACTTGACTCTTTCTCAGACTCCTGCTCCTTTGAACCAGAAGAAGAACTCGGTGAGGGTTTTTTCTTACCCCTTTCCGACCTCCTCAAAGAAATCGGCGATGGCGAGCTCTTCTTTTCAAATCTCTCAGATTTATTCTTCTTCTTCACTGGTGTCCTCTTCTCAACACTCTCCTTTGAAGGACTTGGCATCATCATCGTTTGTTTTCTTGATGATGATGCTTCCCTAGCCGACCTTCTCAAACCAGATGTATCCATTGTCGAAGATCCTGAAGTAGACGAAGCTTTGCTATTAGAGACCCCTTTTTTAGAAGCTTTGCTATTAGAGACCCCTTTTTTAGAAGCATTGCGACTAGATCGAGTATCATTTGCCATGGTTCTTATTCTGGGCATAGTTAGAGAGAGAGAGCGGAAGAGGAAAGAGAACCAGGTTTGGGGGCGTCTGGGTCTGCAACGTTTGCCATGCCGTGTTTTTCTTTTTCTTTTCTCTGTTTTCTTAACTGAAACGACAACGTTTTACAAGGATCTGGCTCTTCTTTTTATATTGACGTGACTGAATTCTGGCCGCTGGATCTAGATACCAGCGGAGCCGGATCCGTGTAAAAACTTACTTAAATGAACATCTTAGCCTATGGGACATCTTATTCAAATCTTAGATGAATATTTTTGTTTTAATTTTTACTTATACCTTGAATTACTTTTTGACCTCGTATAAATTAACTCATTTCTCCCTATTTTTTTAATACAATTTAATATAAAATATCTATAAATTTAAATACCAAAATACCCCTGTAACAAAACCCACCAAATCACACTTTCTCTTTTTCTTCTCTTTCTTTCTAAATCATTGAGAGAAACTGAAATAATAAAGAAACCTAAAGACCCACGTAGACAATCCTTCCGATCTCTTTCCAAACAATTTTTCTCTCTTATTAGTCGCCGACTAACCATAAACGTTCAGATTATGATCTCCGACGTTAATATCATTTTGTTCATAGAGTTGTTCCCAAATGATAGTTGAAGATTCAAGGAGCTAGATTTTCAGGGGTCTGAAAATGCCTGAAACGTCACAAATTTTATCTCTAGGTTTTTTTTTTTTTTTTTTTTTGGGTAAGTAAGAATGAAATAAATAGGAAAAGAATTTACATAAATAATTGGGGTATACCCCAAGCCCAACAGCATAGGCCAAAGCCATCTAAGCTACAATAGTGATAAAATCCATACAGAGATATGGGATGGAATGAGACTTTGAATCAAAGAATGATCAATAATATCAAAGTATATTGTCTCCTGCTTAGACTGAGAAATCCAAAAGAAATTGTTATATTCTCGATTCAAAGGAGAGAAATAAGTCTGGATATAATGCTGATTCAAAAGAATTTAACTTTTATAGAATTGATGAAAAAAGGAATATTGATTATCGAACCCGTTCGTCTATTTTTAAAAAATGACGAATAATTTATTATGTATCAAACCCTCAGTATTTCATTGGTTCATAAGAATTTAAGTAAGTCTGGATATAATACTGATTCAAAAGAATTTAACTCTTCCAGAATTGATGAAAAAAGGAATATTGATTATCGAACCCGTTCATCTATTTTTAAAAAACGACGGACAATTTATTATGTATCGGATCCGTGCTAGCTAAATGGTAACCCAGTTAGGTGGTCACATGTAAAATCTTACTTGAACATCTTACACCTATGGGACATCTTATTCAAATCTTACCTAGATGAATTTTTTTGTTTTAACTTTTACTTACACCTTAAATTACTTTTTGACCTCTAACATATACAAATTGACTCATTTCTCCCCATTTTTTTTAATACGATTTAACACAAAATATCTATAAATTTAAATACCAAAAATACCCCTATAACAAACCCACCAAATCACACTTTCTCTCTTTCTCTCTCTCTTTTTAACTCATTGACTCTTCAACTAAAATAATAAAGAAACTGAAATAATAGAGAAACTTGAAGACCCATAGACAATCCTTCCAATCTCTTTCTATACAATTTTTCTCTCTTATTAGTCACCGACTAACCATAAACGTTCAAATTATGATCTCTGGCGTTAATATCGTTTTGTTCAGAGAGTTGTTCCCCAATGATTGTTGAAAATTCAAGGAGCTAGATTTCAGGGGTCTGAAAATGCCTGAAACGTCACAAATTTTATCTGTAGTTTTTTTTTTTTCGGTAAGTAAGAATGAAGTAAATAGGAAAAGAATTTACATAAATAATTGGGGTATACCCCAAGCCCAACAGCATAGGCCAAAGCCATCCAGGCTACAATAGTGATGTAGTCCATACGAAGATAGCCCAATGAGGCTTCCAAAAAATAAAACCAACATAGAGGACAATAAAGCATATCCAAACAAGTCCTTAAATTCAAAGCTAATGAACCCTAACTAGTAACTAACTAAAACAAATAGAAGGCATAATTATCAACAAAATGAAAGTTTCAAACTATGGTTGGGGTGTTGTGGATTGGTGGGGAATAAGTTGAGGAATTGGTTTAGTTGTGGGCGTTGTGGTTGTGGTAGGAGATTGAGGATGGATGTGTGGCAATTAGTTGAAGGACCGGAAGGGGTTCGTTTGAGCAACTTCATAGAAGGATGAGGGTAAGTTCCAATCATTTGCAATGTTCATGGCATAGGGGCAATCACATTTCTTCATTGAGAATAGCTTCATTGCATTGTGTTGATTATCAAGTAAAGTGTTTGCATTATAGGTGATGATTTGCTTCTAAGCATTCAGTTATTTCTTTTTTGCCAAATATGATAAACATAGCTGGCCAATGCCAACTTCCAAGTCATGATTCTGCTAAATTTCAACTTTTGTTTCTAATTTTAGGATCCCAGATTAGAAAGTATTCCATAAGTTGGGATTTTTATAAAATCAATATTTTTCTTGAATTTCATTCCAAATGACATTTGAATAAGTGAATTTGTTGAATAAGTGATCGTGGTCTTCTGCATTTTGTAGACAAATTAGGCATGTATTGGGTTGTATTGAGTATTGGACTGAAGGCTTGTCCTGTGTGAACAGCTTCTCTTGGATTGCCAACCAAAGACAGAATGAGTGCTTGGGGATGGCATGCTTGAACCACACAAGCTTGTGCCATAGAATAGTAGGAAGGGGTTGTAATATGGTTTTAAAGGTGTGTTTTAAGGAGTAGGTTTTGGCAGGTAATGGACACCATTATCATGAGGGTTGAGGTTTGGTAGTGGTAATATGTGTGAGTCGTATGCAGCGGAATATTTAGAAAGTTTTGATTATTTTAAAACAGATCTGTGTCTTTTCCAACTTTACTTATTTTAGCAATTAAACAATTAATCATATGCAAATAAAATAAAGTAAAGTATAAAGTTAGAGATGACACAAGGATAACCCCATTTGATAAAATACGTCAACTGTTTGTATTGGAAAAATCTCATGAAGTAAACTGATCCACTATGCTGGAAACAAAGTACACTGAACTTTAACTCTGACTCACACCCTATCGTTCTACCAAACACCAACTGCTGACAATCCTCTAGCTTTGCGACTCCCCGTCCAACAGCAACTTGACCTCAGGCTTATGCTTGATATTTGTAGAAGAGTAGCAGGTAAATTAAACAACACTCCACGATGCTCCAACCATTTCAAAGTGTGATCGCTTTTACTTATGTTCTTCAATTGTCAGAATTCGATGTAGAAGTAGATCTGCTTTCGTCTGATCGATGTAGATACAACTGTATGATCACGATCAGGATTTGAACACCACAACTTTAAACTCACTATGTGTTTATGTGTATGTGTTCTAGAAAGATGACATAAAAATCAACTTTGATTTTCTGCAAAAATAAACTTCCTAAGGCTTTTAAGAATAATGAATTTGTAGAACAAAAGCCGTTAATCAACCTATGTGTATGACGCGGTTTATATAGAGGTTTGAAAAGTCCTATTCCTTTACTATTCCTTCTGAAAACAAAGGAAATTTCATGCCTAGGACTCAGAAGGAAAGTTGGATAAAAAATGAATCAAATAGAACGAGGAAACTGAAAACCTTTTACTGTCAGGACTCTTGGAACCAGTTCCCAATCTTGGTACCGGTTCCCAAAGGACAGAATGAAGGTCTTCGAATCTTAGCTTCTGAAACCGATTCCCACTTGACAAAATCCCATTTGAATTTGGATTTTTTATTTTTGAAACTCTGGAAAATATACCATATAGGTATATATTTGAGTCCTAAGTGGGAAACAATGTCCTAACATGTTGTTCTTTCCTTTTCAATGATCAACAGTACTTTCCTCTGCTGAACAACCTTCTAATTCTGTAGTCGATGTCGATTCTGATATGGTAACTGAAATTACAACTCGACTAGGACTTGTTGGTGCCACCGAGCGTGTGCACAAAATAATGCACAACACTTCAGATTTAGAACTAATGTCAAGTGGGCATCATATTTTATAATCTATAAAACCACTAAACACTTATACTATGGAGTATGAAGTAAGCAGGGATCGTCCTAAGAGATCTAAACAATTATAGGATTTCCAGAATTGAATTATACTTTAGTGCTTATGTGATTGTAAAAAGGTTTGATTTTGTGATTAGACTAATTTTAAGCTAAATGATTGCAATAAAATAATGGAGTTTAAAAGATTGGAAAGAGACTTAGGATGTAAGATTCACCACTAAGAACATTCCCTAACTCACTAACTTTCAACTAATTGGGGAAATAAAATGTATAATCTAAATGTGGATAACAATTGTAATGAAAAGTATGAAACATCAATTTAAAGTTTGAATCATTTACCTAATGATAATTAACTAAGTGTAAATCAATTCACCAATTCAAAATATAGTCCATTAATTCAATTAACAATTTCAACTCACACTAATCTAGAGGATAATGTAAATTGTGGCAACAAGCATGGAAATCAAACACAAGCATGGATTGTCTACTTACCTAAGAACGAAGGTGCAATTAAACTAATTAAGCCTGAAATTAACAAAATTCAACAAGAACTTAACATAATTAAACTAACTGTGTAGTGCAATCCATTTAGTAGAAACAAATTCCATCAAATTAGAACACAATAACATCAAATTAAGACAATGCATAGCCATCATATGATTCAATTCACAAAGAAATCAAGTGTAAAAATTAATTATCAATCAAAAACATATAAGAAAATATGAAATTGATATAGACAATCAAATGAAAGAAATATATATCTCAATGCTATAACAAAAATTACATAAATTAATCCCCAAAAGTCAAGAGTTAAGAATTAGTTTACATGCTTAGAGTTTATCCAACCCTAAGTTGAAGAATCAGCCACTCATGGTTGATAGAGTTGAGGACAGAACAATCTCCATCCTTAGATTCATCATCTCTGAGCTTTTCTTCCTAACCCTAGCCTGTTCTTCGTTTTCCTCTTTCGCGTTTTCCAGAGAGAATATAATAATACGATACAGA